TTTAAAATAGAATTATTAAAAAACTATAAGTCAGCTAAAGAAAAGAAAATTAGTTTTAGAATCTATGATTTTTCCTCTTTCCATCCATATAAAATTTATTTGCGAAAGCCTGTGGCTCTAAACAAAAATTTTACCTAAGTTTTCTGCACCTGCTGAATTTTTCATTCCAAAATACGTGTAATGTGTATAGTGATGTGGTATATGTAAGCATGTATATAATGGACGATTTATAACCACTCGACTGATTCTCCTTAACTTTGCTTCGATTTGTAGTGTGCACCTTTAAGTTTTCTATAATCTAGTATTGCATCAATATTTTAAAAACTAAAATTTTCTTAATTATAAGTAATATGTTATGAATATATAAACTGCAACTCTAAATTTTTCGGTTTATATTTTAGGAAACCCACATTTTGCATAAATATGATGGCGATCTGTATGGGCACTTGCTTAAGGTTTGCATTGTTGGTTACCTTCGCCCGGAACGTAATTTTGAATCCCTCGATGATCTTATTAGCGCTATACAAAGAGATATTGAAGACGCCAAAAAACTTTTAGATAATGACGAGGAAAAATGTAAATTGCAGCATTCAAAATTCTTTCAAGCGAACTACATTGAAAATGAAAAATCTGCTTCAACCCATTTTAAAGGTGAAAATATAAAAAATGGATCATAGAAATCAGTATGCTGTAATTATGAAATTTAAATTAGAGCAGTTACTTAAAAAGTAATAATTCCACCTCAATATATAATATTTGTATAACTTGATTGTAAATGCCGGTAATATTTTTTAATATGTGTAGCAAATATTTTTAATTGAGTAAGAGTGATAAATAATTATTTGGTGATTCAATGTTATAAGTTTTTTTTTTTAAATAATATGATGTTACTTAAAAAATATGTATTATACATTTTTGTATTTTCCAAAACTATATGTGAATATTTATTACTTAATATATGAAAATGTACAAATGGTTAAAATTAATAATTTAGTTTTGTATATATGTACATACCTATATGAGAATTCTCATACTGCTTTGTGTCTTTGCAATAAATTGCAATATTTTTACTATTTATGAGATCAAAACTGAATTGTTAACTATTGTATTTAAAATGGTGTTTAGTAAGAACACAAAAATACATACATTTGTAAATTATGATGAAGACATAATAAAAAATATATGAATTTTTTAAAATGATAAAATACACTGTTATTACTCAAATATCGTCTTGTAGATAATTTCTTGTAGCAATTATAAAACGTCTTATTCAGGAAATAAGAAAATGTCTCATTCAGGCAATGAAAAAACGACTCGACAAGAACATTTTAGAGCAACTGGAATAAGACATCAATACGGTGGCGATATTACCGGCGATAAATTTGTTGCCAACGGCGACTCGTTTTTTTTTATTGCCGGCAACAAAAAAACTCTGGTGGGGAAGCATATAAAAGAAATTTGTACGTATGTATGTTAATGTGAAAAAAATTCAATGTATGGAAATAAAGCAGTTAAAAGGGAGACATAGTGAGTTAAGTAGTTTTACAATTTGTTACTTTAAAATAAACTAAGTATGGTTTCAACCGAAATGCCTATTTTGTCACGCTAAATTATTAAATTAAATTAAATGACGTAATATAAACAAAAAAAAAACAACAAATGGAATGTTACAATAGTTCTGAGAGAGCAAAATTTTCAGCAAACTCGTGCTGAAAAATATTGCATTATTTTTAATTGACTGATTTCAGCCATACAATTAAAAAGAATGTTTTCCCGGCAGTGGAATCATTGTGCTATGGAGAGTCGGCAAACAACCCACTAGAACTTTTGTGTTATTCTCTCCAGGGATTTCCCTTACCATCAACTTTGTGAACATTTGAGACCGTCCCGTACTCTACTCCTCGGCACGTATGTCCCGACCAGACTCAGCGAGTTTTCTGTTCTGCATCCCATCCTTTCATTGGAAACTACTCGCTTTCAACTAAGAGTACTTGCTCAACTAAGAGTACTTGCTTTTACACGCCAATATTCTCGAATTACAGTTGAAGTCTTAGAAACGAATCGTGCCATTGGTTTTTTAGTTGATTTAGTTATGCTGTTTAACTGAAGATTCCGGAGAAGTTAATTAATGTCTTTTTTTAACGTTTCTCCCGACCAACCGCCAAAAGCGAAAACAATTTTTAAAGTCAAATGTCACGGGTCCTAGATGGAGCCAAGGCGAATTCATAAAGGTGAGAGCAGGAGAACAAAAACAACAATTATTGTTTATTTGTATTTTGTTTTCTGTGTAAGAATTGTCGAAACCATGGCAAATTCATACAAATCGCTTTTGTCAAATTGAATCAATAATTCAAAACAAAAGTTAGAAAAGAAGAAAAATAAATGAAATCGATGTCGTTAAAAACCATGGTTAGCTAATTCAAATTGCATTTAAAGTAGAGTAGTTTTCTTTAATGGAATGTTTTCTTACTAGCTCTTACTTTGAAAGGGAATTTCTTAAGCAACGGCCATTGGACGATCTTAGGAGATTACTAGAATTACCGTACTTCTGCAATTTTTGTAACTGACGCTGTGTTGGTAGTTTCAGTTTATGTACATATTCAGGTAATTGGTTATAAATATTATTTATAGTTAGTGTTTGAAAAATATATTATATTTAACTATAAGATTATATAAGCGTAATTTTTTTTTTCAAAAAATGGTCTAAGCATACTAAGACCATTTTTCAAATTCCTTTGACAAACAAAAAGATGTAGACCATTCATCTTGTGGAGCTTGGAAGAATATGTACATACAAAAAACAACGGATTGCCGCGACAATCTCCTCAAACAAGATTCCCAAACAGGAGCCAAACCCATCTTTACAGACGGCTCAAAGCTCCTTGAAAAAGCGGTTCCAAAATTGATTTAAATTCTTCGATGCACTGTTGCTGAGTGAATCCATCTCGAAAGTTGTAAAATGTAAATGTAAATCAAAAATACCATACTTTATGATAAAGTTGTCAGTTGCCAGATTGCAACACCAGCGGGGCAAGTCCCAAATTAGGAAATTTGCCCTTAAAAATTTGCAAACTACAAAATTTTGTGGAATACACCCCAGTAAAGCTTCTGGGTTTACTTAATTCCGACTCTTGCGTCCACATCGCGCACCCTGGAATCGTGAGCAACCTTTGTGCAAGTTGAGGTAACCAACGCGTATGGAGGCTTGGCTCACAGCTAAAAGAGAGTTAGCTTTAGTGGAGCCATTCCGACTTGTTCGGCTTGAGTGTTCGCTTCAGTCTATTTACAGCGGTTGCGAGCGGGAATTCGAAACTCGGTTTCAACGTCACCGTTGATAATCCTAACTTTGAAGTCGTAGATAACTTCATCTATCTTGGAACCAGTATTAACACGAACAACAATGTCAGCCTGGAGACTCGCCGTAGAATCACTCTTGCCAACAGGTGATACTTTGGACTCAATAGGCTATTGAAAAGTAAAGTCCAAACTCTCGCTTACCGTTCCCAGTCTGCTTATGGTATGAAGGCATGGAAGTGACAACATCTGATGAGTCGGCGCTGGGAGTTTTCGAGAGAAAAATCTTGGGTAAGATTTATGGTCCTCTACGAGTTGGGAAGGTCGAATACCGCAGCAGATGGAATAATGAACTGTCTGAGATATATGGTGGCATTTTCATTTTCACATTTCAGGGAATCTAGAAACAGCGGCTGCGTTGGCTAGGTCATGTGGTCCGGATGGATAAGAATACTCCAGCCTTGAAAGTTTTCGATGAACAGTACCTGCCGGGGGAAGCAGAGGAAAGGGAAGACCTTCACTTCGTTGGAAAGACCAGGTTGAGAAGGACCTGGCTGAACCAATTGACAGCAAGTAGCGAAGAAACGAAATGAATGGCGCAATGTTATAAAATAAATTGTAATACCTCCTCTTTAATACCAGTAGAGAACTTATAACAACGAGAAATGTTGCCAATAATTATTAAAAAATTTAAATGTATTGTAAAAACCCAATATAAAGATATAAGATGCAAAATATGTATTTTCCCTATTAATGCTTGAAGTACAATATGAAGTACAACTGAATTTGTTCCTACTGTGACGGGATACAAGGAATAAGAATGTATGGACACACGGAGCTTTGAATGGATTTGTATTGGACTTAAAACCAATTTTTGATTTCTGTAAATTTTTCTATCGTAGTGAAGAAGGTGCGTCAATTACGGTGGTACAGATTTTTCTATCAAAATACCTCTCTTGAGCAAACCATTTTTCATGCACCAAGTTTTAAGTGCAGTTTAATAACAGCGTAGCGATTTTCATTAAATACGCTTCGATGATTTCCCAATTCCTTTGAGTTTGATCAGTGGATTGGTAAATAAAAGTCACAAGATTTGTTGTATAATTTTTTAATTGTAAGAAACAACCTTTACACTTTTATCAAATTTCATATTACAATACTCCATGACTTTTTCTTTTTGGCCGATCTTGATTTCTTCACCAAGGAGGAAGTCCACACCAACGATGACTTCAGCAGTCCTGTATGAACTTACGTAACACTGTCATATTTTCAATAATGACTTCGCCCGTTACTTCTCTTACAACCTTGGTGCCCTCACTAGGTACCTTTTCTACGAACTTCTGAGACGTAAAACGTTGACTTTGGAATTCCATACGTCTGCCGCTTTTCGTATATATCCTTTACTTCTGAATTTTTACTCCCCCCAGATGATCATCAGATGATTATCCGTAGCCAAGTGAGCCAATCTTTCAACTTCTAACAGAAATTCTTTGGGTTTTTGGTTGCGTTCTCCAGCTGCATTTGGTGCAAATATAATTGGTATCATCAACCATATTCTCATCATGCAGTCATCCCGTGCATCTATTCTTTGGCATTCCTTTGCTAGCATTCTAGCATTTATATGGTGTTATGGCACAGTTGGTAGCTCACAAGTGCAGCATTTTTTATTATTGCTTTTGGCGCAAGTTCAAATTCCTTTTTTTTGCTCAAAATGCTGGAGCTTGACCTGCATGACATGTGGTTTGAACAAGACGGTCCCACATGCCACACAGCACGCATAACAATGGACTTATTGAGAGGCGAGTTCGGTGAACGTTCGGGACGCCTTGAGGCCCGTTTTCGCAATGTCCGATTAACTTAACCTTTAACTTTAGCTTAACTATTAATTGGAGGAGTTCCGGTTACCTAATTTCTGGTTAGTTTAATCATTGTGAGTATTTTATGGTAAGTTCACAAAAATTTTCCTTGTGAATAGATGAAAACTGCGTGACAGCTCACAAATTTTACATTTTTGCGTACAATTTATAAATATATCCCTTGTATTTTTTAAATTATTTTAATATAATGGAAAATAAAAACAGAAATCGTCTTCCAAATTTTTCAAGCAGTGAAGAACGTATGTGGTGAAGTGCTACTCCAGTGTAATCGAAAATAAAGAGACTGACTTGAAAATCATTCATGTTGAATTTGAGGTGCAAGTGGGAATTCGGAGGGGCCCAAAACTTAGAAGAAAAATATGAAAATTTGAAGAGGAAGGCCTCCGCAACCACTGTCACTAGAGAACGGTTTATGTAATGTAAACACAAGTGAATCATAAATATTTAATTTTTTAAATAAAATTTGATCTTATTTATATTTATTTTTATTTAATATTAATTAAGGTTAAATGTAACTTTTTTGTTTGATATTTGTCAGTGTAGTTGTGTTTCGTGAAGAAGTAGTAGTTTCGATCGAACAAGTAAGAAATGTTTTCTTAATTTAGAAAGAATCTCATTTGTATAATTGGAAATAGTTGGAATAATAAACTTTGTGTTCCTTGATCTACCGTTATATTGAGTGGAATTCCCGAAACGAGGAACATAATTTTGAATAAATGTAGTTGCAAAAGAAACTGCTAAAATGTCTTTAAGTGGATTTGCTTCAGGACATCGAGTATGTCTGTCAATGATTTTTAATATGTATCGATTCTCTTTTAAAACTGGAAGATATCCTACTAGATCCTTATGAATGTCTTCAAATCGCCCAGAAGGAATATTCATCTTTTGAATTGTTCTTAGTAACTTTAGATTTTGGACAGTTAATGCAAGATGATGTCCAACTACAATATTAATTTATTATGCAATTAGGCCAGAAATATTTAGAAGGATAAGACGTCGAGTTGTTCGAACACTTGGATCTGATAAAGAATGAATTTTTTCAAAAATAATTTTTCTCATTGAATTAGGAACATATGGTCTAAAAGGTGTTTGTGCAACATCACACCAAATATTGAGATATAGAATAGGCACATTAATTTCTTTTAAACTACTATTAGCATTTGGATCTGAAATAATATTTTTAAGTATTTCATCTTTTTGTTGTTCTTCGTAAAGGTATTGAAATAAAATTAATTTCTGGGATACGAGAGAGAGTATCTTTACCACAAATGTATTTAATATCATTAGTAAACTGAACGATTTATTCTAAATGTCTAATTTGACGAGGAGATCTATCTGCTTTAGAATTTAGAACATGTGTAAGTGGTCTATGATCAGTGTAAGCAGTGAAAACTCTACCTTCGAGAAAATGTTTAAAATGTTTAATTGAACTATATATTGCTAAAAGTTCTCTATCGAATGTGGAATAACTAATTTCAGTTGGAGTTAATTTTCGCGAAAAATATGCTAATGGTTCTAATATTTTATTACTCTTTTGTTGTATAACAGTTCCAATAGAAACATTTGAAGCATCTATTGCAATTGATAAGTTCGAAAAGTTTTTCAACATTTTCAAAAGCTTGTGTGATTTCATCTGTCCCATTTAATTCTTTAAATTAATTTTTTATTGTAAATTTTAACATTTCATGCAGAGGGCTACTAACATTTTAATGTATCCATGATAATAATTTACCATAACTAAAAATTTTTGTAATTCGTTAATCGACAGAAGGTTTTCAAATTCTGATACCTTCACTTGAAATTTCATAACTAAGAAAATTTAAACACATTTAGCAGATTTAATATTTAAATTGTAATTTTCAAGTCTTTTAAATACTGATTTTAAATGTTCAATATGGCGATCTTCATTTTCACTAACTACTAGAATATCATAGATGAAAACAAATACGAAATCTAATTCAGAAAATACTTGTTTAATAAATCGTTGAAATGTTTGAGCACTGTTTTTAAGTCCGAAAGGGATACGTACAAATTCAAACATCCCGAAAGGAGTGGATATTGCTGTTTTGTGTATATCTTCCTCAGCCATTGATATTTGAAATGCACGCACTAAATCAATTTTTGAAAAAGTTATTTTATCTTTTATATCAATATTTAAATCGTGAGTTTGAGGTAACGGTTATCGATCTGGAATAGTTATAAAATTTAATCGCCACATGGTCGCCAATCATTTGGCTCTTTTTTTGGGAACTAAATGAAGAGGAAATGCAGCATATGAATTCGATGGTCGACAAATACCAGTTTGAACTAAAAATTCAAATTCTGTTTTTTAATTTAATAGGATCAAGACGACGAGGTTTCAATTCTGTGAACCGTATGGTGTTACACTTGCTTAGTGTAATCTGGCTCACAAATAATGGATGGAAATTCATTTAAAATTCGAAGTGAGAAAATGTTGCAAAAACTAGTAGATCCAGAAATTTTAAATTTTGTTGTTAAATCTGTCATTTCTTTATTTTTTATATCTACTAAAACTTCAAATTTTTTCCTAAAAAATTAGCACCAATAATTGGAGTTGAATTATCGGCAATAATAAATGTAAATTCGAAATATCTTCTTAAACCTAAATCAGGTTTTAAAAGTTTTGTACCAAATGTTTCTGTATTAGATCCGTTTGCAGCTGAAAGTTTAAGATAGAAATTTCTTTTTAATGCTTTGAATTTTGAAGAAGGCGCCTGTATCAATCAAACAATTTAATTTGTTAAATTTATCGAAAATAAAAAGGCGACGCTTTAGTTTAAACAATTTGCCTTCGAAATATTTGTGTTTGGTTTAAAATTTGCAAGGTTGACCGCATTTGAAGGCATTATTCTTAAATTTGTCTTAGATCTAGATCTAGATCTATTATCTATCTCTATCTAGATCTAGATCTAATTTGCAATTCATTAATATCTGTTGTAATTTTATTTAAAGTTTGTTAAGTCAGTTAATTTTTTAGTGCATTGTTCTATAATATTATTATTATTATTATTATTATTATTATATGTTATTGCTATTGAAGATACTTGAGGTTTATTAATTAAATCGAAAATTTTATCAGCCAAAATAATAATTTCATCTTTATTTTGATTACCAGAAGAAGATAAATGAATTTGAATTTGTTGAGGTAGCTTA